GCCACCCCTGTAGCCCCCCCCCCCCAAAACCTTGCCGTGCAAACCCAATACAACCCAACAATATGTAGAATGAGTTCCCTAATGAGTTAGCTGGAAGCATTTTATTGGTGCTGGTGTAGGTGTGATTAGATGGTTCTGCTTCTTGCTGCTCTACAGTCAGCAGTTTCATTTACTTGAGTGTTAATGTGTCTTCATAAACAGCCAGAGATGTAGCCAGGTATAATCCAATATGGAGTTAGCATAGGAATTGGCAGCAATGCAGCAAGAAGGCTGGATGTCTTTGAAGAGATGCAATATATGACAAAGCATATTTCTCTGTCTTCAGTGTATTTTAAACTTTGCATCATTTATTTGTGCTCTTTGGTACTAGTCATCTTTAGGGGCAAGGCTTATTCTAAACCACAAAAGATTGGAGAAGTGTAGTAAATAGACACAGTTTGACTTTTTCTAATATTGTAGCAAATATGCTTTAGTGTGAATGTTTCAGATATAACCTTTTTTTTTGTGCATTATCCTTGATGACAGACTGTGTAGCTACTAACAGTGTTAGCACCTTTCTTCCAAGTTCTACATGTCTTCTGTAGCATTCAGAATTTACAGTTCTCAAGCTGCTGAAGGACTAATATTATTACACTTTATATCCTAGCTATTTCATGTTGCTTTTCAAACATATATTCCAGTATAACCCAAAGTATGACCTGTCTTCCTTGCAGGACAAGTGTTTGTGCATTGCCGTGAGGGCTACAGCCGTTCTCCTACACTGGTCATCGCCTACCTCATGCTTCGCCAGAATATGGATGTCAAGTCTGCATTGAGCACTGTCCGGCAGAAGCGAGAGATTGGCCCCAATGATGGCTTTCTAAGGCAGCTTTGCCAGCTCAATGAGCAATTAGTGAAGGAGGGCAAACTGAAGCCTTAGAACAGAGCACCGTAGTATTTTTTGAAGTTTCTCAAACCATCAGAGGACATCTTAAGATGCTTTAGATTCCCAAACCCCAACCACCAAGCTAAATCACATAATGTGAGGGAGACAGAATTCCTGCTCGTGTCTAATGAAAGTATCTATCTTTCTCGAACTCTGGGTCTGTCTTTCAGGATGGCACGAAATTGTGTCACTGTTTGGAGCTATTGCAATAAAGAGGTGTTTTCAGAGGGGTAACTCCGACGATAACAGCTGTCTTCACATGTATTTCAGAGCCCCCTACAGGCTCTGTAGCATATGGGGTTTGCATTGACATTGAGTGTGATTCGTTCAAGCCTTTTCTTGTATCCCACCAGAGCACCATTTTCTGAGAGCCCCAACACATCTCTTCACTCACTCTTAATTGAAGTACTGTATTTTCTAAAGCTTCTTTTTCGTGCACACAGGTGCCTAAAGTTAGTGTAGGAGCTTCAAGGAATGGAGAAGCATATATACAAATGCACAGATGCACTTGCTTGTACAATGAAGTGTATGCAGTGTTGTGTTTAGTGTGGATTTATGCAATACGCAGTGTGTGGTAGTAAAGCCATTCAGAGCCCAATCTTGATGCACACTGTATTTCCAAGAGAATTTGTACCTCTTGCTGTTGTGATTGACACAAAATAGTCTGATATTAAGTGCTCTTTTATTTTTGTTTTGAAGTCATACTAGAAAAAAATGCCAAGAGCAAATGTCAAGGAAAAAACTTGAACAAGGAAGAAATAATGTCTGTATTTAGGGGTGCTTGTACTGGATGTATGATAAAGTCCTAAGTATCAGAATATAATGGCTCCCAAGGCTTATATTGAGTTACAGCGTCTCTCCCTTCTTTACTATCACTGTTAATTAACACAGAATGGAATGAGCTCATATACAGATTACTTCCAGTAGGGCAGCACAGGTGTGCTTACAAAGCAGTTTGCAGACGTGCGCTCCTGACTTCTTGGATTGCTTGCATGGTGTTCATTAAATAGAAATGAGCATTGTTACGTACCACATGGAATAGGAAACATTTCCTTTCTATTAAAATAAATGAGGTCTTGATTCTGTTTGACGTACAGATGAAATGAGTCATTGCAACATTGAGAAAGGGAGCTTTGTTTACAGTATGCCCGGCTAGTGTGTGAACCTGTACCTGTCAGTTATAGCACTGTATTAACGCACTGCAAACTCGGAATTGTTGGTTAAACTAACAGAACCTGAGATGTATGTGTTCCCTTTTTATCTGTGCTTTAATGTAGTTGTAGATTGAAAACTTAACACTATTTTAAACAGAAACACTGTTGTATTCATAACAGATGTAAGCCCAGGTCTAGTTTTGTATCTTCAGTTCACTAGTCAAAAATCACAAAGGACATACATTGGTTTACTTCTAGTTGTTGGGGTTGTGTGGTTTGAGGGGTGGGAGTGGTGGTGGGTAATTCTGTATAGCTGGATAAGACAATGCTATAAACTGATTTTAAAAATTGAGCTCTAAGACAGTATATCCTCTATTTTGAGTTACTGATAGGTGACTCAGTAATGAAACCATTTCCAGCTCTGCTTTTAGAGTAAGCTAAAAATAGAATCTCAGACCGCTGCTCTGTTAATGGATCATACCCTTCCTCTTTTAGTCTTATCTTGCTGTTTAAGTACAGTAATGTTGCAAATTCCTCTGCCTATTTTAGCTGGACAAGAAGAGCTTGTATGCCTCTAATCCATAATGATACACCATGTACTTCTAAATTTCTCTTTCTGATTGTAGAAGGAATGATCATATAAAAACAGGAATGAGACCTTTCTTTCCATGTAATATGAAATTGAGAAAGTATTGGAAGAAATACATCTTTTTATTCTCCTGAAGTTGCTGCACAGTTGCCATTTGCTGTGAGATGTTCCTTACAAGCATGTTAATTGGGGAAGATATTTTTTAACACAACTATTTGTTGCAAATAGCAACACTACATTTTTGGAGTTGAAACCTCTTGATTATAACTAAAATAATGTGATCTGGATTTACATTAATTTATTTATTCTGAATAGCAGTGTGGTACTTTTTGTGTAGATAGCACTCTGGAGAAGGGATGGGGTCTCTGTAAAATATGCATCTATCATAGAACAAAGATATCTACCATGTCAGATCCAGCACAATGAAAGAAAAAGCAATAGCTCGGGGTTTTTGTACTTGAGAGTTAGTGAAGTTGGAGAGGTGGGGAAGAGTGGAGATGAGAAGCTATTAGCATTTTATAGCAAGGAACAAAGAAGAAAGCCCAGATAGATAAAATGATGATACATGTAAAACTAAATTCACCTTCTACTCATGTTGAACTAAATCTTTCTCAGCTGTGGCATAAGCAAAGGAGATAAGTTTGTAACCAAAAATTAAGATTCAGAACAAAACTTTGACAGTAAGTGTTGTGTCTAGCATGGTACTCTGAACGATAGGTACTGCCAGAAAATACTTCGTGAGAGAACGTTGCAATATGTCACTACTGAAAAGTGTACAATTCATGAAGTGATTTCAAACTTAAAATTAATAGCTTCTGAAGGCAGGACTAGCAGCTGCAATATGTTGTATTATAATGCCATTTTGGGATGTTGAGCCTGTGTTAGTATTGGACATGTTTTTCTCCTACAACATGAGTATGCCTGGCTTACCTCTCTTGGTCATGTGAGAATTAATTAATCTTCATGAAAGGCTTTGAAGATGAAAAGCACTGTGGATAAGAACACTACGTGATCTCTGAGATGAAAAACAAACTTGTGTCAAATACATCTTCCTCTTGCTGCACAAAGGAGAACAGCAGAAAGGATGTTTGCGATGTTTGCTTTCATAATTTAATTATTTTCATTGAGCTGTCTTCTGTTGTCCAGAACTAGTTAAATCTAGAACTAGAACTAGAAGCAGGGTTTTTCCCCTCTTTTTTTAAATTAGTTCTGCTAGTTTACTGTAATATTTTTAGCACAGAGGGACTATGTAATGGAACCTCACTTAGTATAGCACAGAGGTTTCTTCTAAAATTACTTTCTGGGCTTTGCCAATGAGTAAAACTGAAAATAGAACAGGCCTGAGAGGTATCTTCTAAGGATTTATTCGTGAGAATTAGTGTCCTATTAATTTCTTCTATTCTGCAAATAAAACCTGGAAATCAGTTAAGTGGTGGGGTTTGGGTTTTTTTATTTTAATTCCAGTATGCCAAGGTTGCTGGCTAGCTGACTCACCAGATGGAGCTGTAGGCTTGTTATTCTTCACTAGATAGTCATCATTCCATCCCTGAACAATGCTGTTGTATGAATCTCATGTATTGTTATCTTACCACTGAAAAAGGCAAGCCACCAGAATGATTTATCAGTGCATTTGCTGGTCTCTGGTGGTAGAATACTAAGATTCCATTTATTCTTGGCTGCTTGGAGATGATCACATTATAGCATTCAGACTGATAAATTCACAAGGTAGTATGTGACTCAGCAAAATTCTTATGAGACAGATAAAAGTTGCTGGGGCAAGGGGGGCTTAGCAGCATCTTAGAAAAAGAACTGTTTGAGAAGCAAACAAGTTCTTGAACGTTAGAAACTGAATTCCTGGGCAGTGTGTAAATTATGAGCCATTGTCCACAGATAAGCCTAAATTGCACACATGTATCTTAAGGCCTGGATACCTAACAGAACACCACTTGGCCCAGGTGTGGGCAGAGTGGGGTGCATAGTGAGCACCAGAAGTTACAAGTGATAGAACTGATGGCAGAAACTGATTTATATGTGCATGCCTTCACAGTACAGTCTCGCAATGCAAGCACATCAGGACAGAAGTCTGAGTCCAGAAAGCAGCAGCAGCAGATTCAGGCTAAGTATATGATGCCAATTTACTCCTTGTACCTGCTCCCCTAATATGTCTGATTCCTACTTAGCATGGCTAAGGGTGGTGTTTTTTCAGCTCAGAATATAGCATCCTAGTTCTGAATGTAGAGGATCCAAACTCAGTTCCACCCTGGTGGGTGAGGGTTCATTCTGAAAGCGTCCTTGATACCTCTCTTATTTTTTCCTGTGCTTCATTAACAGTGCAAAAATCATTTGTAGGGGGCTGCAGCCCAGACCACATCTGCTTTGTTGCAGGAAGTACTGTGAGCAGGCAAGCAGCTACAGGACATGGAAGAATGTTATTGTAGTTAGGGAATCTGAATGTCTATGGGATTTGGATTCTTTTCTTGCCTCTATTAGGCTGCCCTCCCAGCTTGTGGACAAGAAGTTTTAAGCTGGAGGCTAAATATAGCTTCTGATTTTTACTTTCATAGATTTTTTTAATTATTATTATTATTTCTCCCAGCGGGTAATACAGATAAATGTTAAGACAGTTAATAGAGGGGATTGTTTAAGTACTTAGAGAAGCTACATCAAGAAATGTTTATGTTTTATGTGATGATTACTGTAAATGTGGTTCTCTGTAGTAGGCCTACTACTCGACAATGATAGCTTTTGGAAATATTGTCTAGGCAGACATTACATGAAAAGAAATTAACAGAAACTGAGCTTTGATAGATGCATATAATTCTGAAGGCATTTAAATAGGGGAGTGAATCGGTAGCAATGGTTCAGTGATTACCAGTACTCAATTTTTTTCTGCTCTCCTGTTCTGCTTTTCAGCTGCACTCCATTGTACCACAAGATGTGATGTCACTTTGGACAAGGTCACTATTGGTGAATACCAATACAAAGTGGTATTCCTATCTGACAAAAACAATACCAAGTTAAAAATCTTTGTTTAGTTCCTGGTCATCCTTCCCAACTTGTTCAGTTAACTAAAAAAAACAAAACAAAACCCCACACCTTTTTATTCCTTTGAGGGCCATTAGAAGATCGCAAGTCAGTATTTCCAAAGAAAAGAAAAAACAGCGGTATCGTAAGGCCTGAAAGCAAAGCTTCAGATCGTTGTACGCAATATCAAGTATAACATAATCATGGTAGTCTAGCCTGTTCTCTGAAGGAAAAAAACCCCAACCCCTAAATAAACCAACCAATCAACCAACCAACCAACCAAAATCTGCAAGGAAGGTGGTTGCACAGCTTTCCAAGCTGGTGTCTGTCTTTTCTTCAGAATAATTTTTATTTGGTCGGCAATCATATGATCCCCCTGTGAAGCTGTGTATCCCTTGCTGTTGAATAGATTTCACCTGTATGTCTAAGACAAAAATAGACTTACTCATAAGTGGGAAAAATTATGCTTGGAAAAATGTTTGCAATGGCTGAGTGTTTGGGTTTCCTGTATTTGTGAGATGATAATTAACTGCTTTGAGTAAAGCAGGCAGTTATTAATGAAAGATAGTGCTGCTGCTGCTGCTGATTATAGGGAAAAAGGAATCAGCACATCTGAGGCAACAGCCCATATTAAAGAATAATATCCAGACTGACTGTGGAGAAGAAAAAAATCTTGTAAAAAGAAGATAGTAAGTTGTAGCCCTCCATAAAAACAGAATAATTTCTGAGATGGTAGGATGCATAAGATGTGGGCTGGAGGAAAGGAGGAAGGGGAACAGACAGTAAGGGCACACAGTTGTATGCAACACAATGCATGGATGCTTTTAGAGATTCTTGGAAAGGAGGGCTCTTCTGAGAATGCTAATCTCTATAATTTTTGGCAGAGAGAAAGGGTAGGAGAGAAAGCATGTCGTAATATATTTCAGATGCTATTATTTTAGGAAAGGACCATTGTACAGAGCAGGTATGCTAAAGCTCATCAAACTCACTAGTGCATCTGCTATGTGTGTCTGTATGTGTAAGGCTGAAGAGGCAAAATGTCCTCAGGTCATTGCTGTTGTTTAAATCTATTATTTATCATCAGGGTCACACCAGGGGAGAATACACCTCCACTTTAAATTTGGTGACATCTGTTTTCTGTGCCAGGTCAGGGGAATTGTCAGAATGGAATGCAAGCCTTCAGTAATGAGTCTTACAGTAGTAGGGAAAAGTCAGACAGTGAATCACTTTTTAATCTCTTCTACATGAAATATTTTCATGAGGATGTATGCAACAAACATTGCAGTAACACACATGGATGTCCCTCTACTGCTTTAAGCAAACATTTTGCTTTCAGTGGCTATGATGAGCTCAGTGTAGTATCTAACCTTACTAAAAGCTGAGATGCTTTCCGATTAATGTATTTAGCCCGACATCATTTGCAAATAACTTGAAAGTGTATGTGGTCTTGAGACAAAGAAATGATGCAGCTATCACCACTATCTTATTTTTGCAAGGAAGAAGAATACTATAGATGAGATTTTAAAACATGACACATTAATACATCTCAGGCATCGGTGCCCTAGACATAAGGTCATCAATTCTCTCTGTTAGTTGCATCATGAATGGAAATCAGTCTGGTCATGTTCTTGTGTTTAAAATAAGCAAATGTCCTATATTCAACACTTGCACAGAATGTCAGCAGAAGTAGTAGTATGCAGTGTATTTAAAGCAAACATGAATGCTTTTTGTTTAAGTGATACAAAGGTGAGAAAGAGCACAACAAAAAGCATGATGTACAACATCCTGGCTGTTTACCCTAACTAACATATTCCAAGTAGCTTTTTTTTTAAGGAAAACTAAACAAAACAACTTCTCATTTTGAAAAGAACTTCTTTCCTGTTTCTTCCAGTACATTTGTGAAACAAAATGTGGAGTTCCTTGTTTTGTAAAGGAAAAAAAAAGCTACACCCCCCCACCGCCCAGTCATTTGCCTGCAGAGATTGAAAAGTGTAACTACAGAGCTACAGTTTCTAGATTTGCTTACTTTATACCAGGGGTCGGGGTGGGGGTGGGCAGGGAGTGGCTCAGGGAGGAAGAACAGTAAAAATAAAAAGTCTGAAAAACCTTTGGAAAAGACAATAACCAAAGATTCAAATATGGAGGTAGAAGCAAGTTTTGATTCTACCATTGTCAGAAAAAACTGCAGAAAGACTTGTCAGGTTGCAATTCATCCTAGTCTTGTCAATCACTATTGTTGCCAGGCATAAAAATGAAGCACATATGAGAAGTTTTTACATAGAAGGTGTAGAATATTGTCACTAACCCACTCCCACACACCCATTTTATTTCACACTGACAAAAGCTGAGATGAATGAGTTGTTGTCTGGCCCTTCCCACTTTGTATAGTCATTGGCTGGCTTGGTTCTAAAAAGGATTTAAAAAAGGGGAATAATGTGCCTTTGCCTGGGATCTGAGACTGTCAGGGTGCTGAAAAGCTAATCTGTGAGCTGCCACCATGCAGATTGCTTGGGCTGTGTGCTCTGTCTGTGTCTTAATACAAATTGCATTTCGATCTGTGGAAGGGTGGCAAATGTTTAAAAACGATGCCACAGAAATCATTCCTGAGATCACTGAAAATACAGAAACACCGATGGAGCAGGCTTTCAGCAACAACAACACAATGAACCAGGCAAAGCATGGAGGAAGACACATACAACAAGCTCCAGACCCTAACGGTAAGAAAAATAACATCATTATTACTGTTTTGGACCTAACAGACAGTTTGTAAAAGAATACTTGTTACCATATATGTTTATTTATTAAAAACTTCAGGTGTGGAGCTAACACTGTAAAGTGATACAGAGTTACAGCTACTGTTGAAGTATCAATGTAAATGTTAGAAGGGATATACCGGAGTTTACTGATGAAAAATGTGGTCTATCTATTGAACAATCCTTAGGTACTACAACATGCATTCCTTTTCTGCCCAGCTGCTCCCTGCAGACACAAATCCAATACATAAAACCTGTAGAAGATATTACTTAAGTTTCTCTGTGTTTTGTGCTTGCAAGCAGTGTGAGGAAATACCACAAGTGATCTTTCTTTCTCAGATGTTAAGATGGGGCAATGGGTTGACAGTGAAGATAATAATATAAATTCTTAATATTAAGAAAGAGTCACACTAGTGATGTCTAAGATCACACAGCAAAAATGGCACATGGAGGTTGCATTCAGCTAGATGAGAGAAGCGTGCTGCTCACTGCCCTTTGCCAACAGCCAGCTTTTCAGCCAGATTCCAGCAGCCAAAAAAGCTGTTATGAACAGTTAAAGCAGTCCCCAGGGGAATTCATGCCCAAAGGAATTGGAGGGGACTTTATTTTGCAGAAGTGTGCAATCTTGGAATCAGTTTGGCTACTTTACAGCACTGACATACTTCATAAGATATTGTTACTGCATTTGGCCAAATGTCTAACATTAGCAATGATGCAAAACACAAGCTTTGTGCGCAGAGATGGAAGATGGGTAGTTAGCACCAAACAGAGAAAGGTAGTTTTAAAGAAGTGTTCTGCTGGCAAACAGGGCGAACTTGGTCCTCCGGACTGACGCATTTGGCTACCAAATGCACATAGCAACAAGTCAAACTTACACTTTCCACTATTGTGCATTGCCGATCTGAGTTAGCTGCCTTTCTCTGGGGACAACTGGAAGGCAATTCTGTTTTCCTGCTGCAGCTGTCAGCTAAGGTGTTTAAAACCATAGCATTAACAATATTTTAAAAGGAAAAAAAAAAGAATGGTTTTGAGAGTGCAACTTTATATGGGTCTTAAATCCCTAAAAGGGGGAGCACTCTGCTTCTCCCAGGCAGCCCCACCAACCACCAGGTCAAGGCAGGTTGGTTTTGTTGTTACATCTGAATAGCTTCATTTTTTAGCCTCTTACTACTCTGACATCAACTGGGGGGAATCTGTACCTCTCATTTGTGCATATTTTTTTAAGTGGAAAGGACATTTACTTAAGAAAGAGAGATTGAAGGAGACTGGACAGTTATTCAAGATATGCAATGGTGTTGCATACTTATTTTAACATCTTTAACACAAGGAATCAAAATGACAATCCAAAGTGGCCAGACCTTCCCAGGACACATGATGTTGCACCAGACCATGAATAATTTTGCAGTACATGGAACCTGCACACATACAGAACAGGAAATATATGCACAGAAAAAAAACCTATATAGCTGAGGCAAATGCCTGTATATTTAACTGTATCTGCCTATGTGCTACAGTTGTACAATACACCTGATTCAGACCATTATTTACATAGACAGACATAATTTTCTTAAATGCTTAGGGAACTTGGTGGTATTAGTCTAAGTGCACATGGAGTTTAGTTGTCAGCATTTTTGTCACAGTATTATGACATGGATCGTCTCATTTCATTTCATTAATGCAGTCCTTAAAACTTCTAAAAAATGAAATCTTGCTAGCTGTACTTTGATAAATATAAACCTGAGCCCTAAAAATCATATTTCTGTACTTCACAGGAAAAACAAAAATTAAAATGTCTGTACAAATATTGTTCTATCACTAATGACTCAGGGTCAGAATTCTCTTCTGATGTACTAAGGAGGGAACCACCTTGTGCATAGCAAGGAGAATGGGCCTAAGAGACACAGCCTTCTGTTTGTAATCTGACCTTCAAGGATTTCCACCCCAAGTAGCATTCCTGAGTTAAAACTACCCTTTTGACTGAGAGAAGAACATTAACATGTGTTTATCTAGATGAAGTTCTTTGACAAACACCTTCAAAAATCAAATTCTGTGTCTTCCAAACAAGTCAATTAGCCAAGTGTGTCACTTGGCAAGAGACACCTTTGGAAAAAGTCTGTTCCTAGAGTTGGAAAGTTTTTCTAAATCCTTAATGCTAAAAAATCTTGTCTTTCCTAATGTTTCATTTGCCTATAGCTATCCATTGAGAAGCAGAGGGGGAAAAAACCACAGTTAACGTTCCTAATCAGCCAGAATATGCCTCTCGCTGTCTGAAGGAAATTATGTGGGACATGTGGGATTATCACAGAGAACAGTAAACTTGGAAAATCTAATGCCTGAAGAGTGGGAATTCCTTAGCACTGTTGTTACCTGCTATTTCCCTAACACATAATGCTGGTTAAAAATCACTTAAGTAACACTTTCTTTGTTGCAAAAGAATTTATATCTGGAGTCAACCTCTGAAGTCAATAGAGTTAAACTAGAGCAATGGGAGAAGGTTTTGCCCACAGGTAAATGAAGCCAGGAGAATCCCATCAAAATTTCCCATGAAGTAACTGCTGCTGCTGGGGTTACACTTCAGAAGCTCCCCTGCCCACCTGCACAACCCTGACATGGAATTTACCTAGTGGCAAGAGAAGGATTTTATTCATCAATTTGTACACTGTTATTCAAGGGTCTCATAACTAGAGTAACCAACTATTTAGAAGCTGCATGAGTGAGTCGTTGGAGATACTCTTCCCAAAATCTGCCATTCAAGATGTCCAGCTTGTATCTAGCTCAGAGCTAGATATCTGCTACAGAAACAAAAAGTGCTTTCTCAGGGATGGTGAGGAAAGCAGTAATTAATGTGTTTCTTTTTTGCAGATGCTTCTGGCTTTAGCTGCAGAGAAATGCGAACCACCCGCTATGTCACAGAGGGGCCTTGCCGCAGCATCAAGCCTGTCAAGGAACTGGTCTGCTCTGGTCAGTGTGTCCCCTCGCATCTCCTTCCCAACTCTATTGGTAGAGGGAAGTGGTGGCGTCAGAATGCCCTGGATTATCGCTGCATTCCTGCTCATACTCGCACGCAGCGCATCCAGATGGCTTGTCCTGAGGAAGAGACTCGGACTTACAAATTCCGAGCTGTCACATCCTGCAAATGCAAGCGCTACACCCGCTACCACAACCAGTCTGAGCTGAAGGACTTTGGAAAGGAAACTGTCAGGCCTCAGAAGAACAAGAAGCCCCGTCTCTCCAGAGCCAGGAGCAGCAAATCTAACCAGCATGAGTTAGAAAATGCTTATTAGAAGGTGGCTCTGAGTGATACAGCCTAGCAGCTCTGGATATTTTACAAAACATCAAATGGCACTCACAGGCCACAGCATGACGTTCTGACTGCAGTAGGTTCCAATTCCTTCTGCTAAGCTGGGTCAAAGGCTCACATAGTCAAAAATCTATCAGATTATAGCAGTTATGGTCTGATAAGAGAATGAGATAAACCAAGCTGGAGGTAGCAACACCTAAATTCAGTCTGAGAGGAGAGGTACACCTTGGAGATTCATGTGAAGTCATGTGGCTTGTACAAGTAGAAAGGCAGAAGAAAGTGAAGCTGCTATGGTGACAATCACACTTTGTTAGAAGTCATTCTAACTCACTTTATGTGAAAAGAACACTGAGATCCTTTTCCCAATTTTGTAAGTGCCATGATGCAGGACAAGCATGCAATTAGGGAAGTACCTGGAGAGTTACCACTCTCTGAATGACTTGTAGAAAGTTAGTGATAGCAGGGATTTCAACAGTTATGGTGACTGAAGTCAAATTGTTTGGAAATTAACATCCTGTCAGATGTCCTCATGCCCCAGTTGTTTCCTCTAAAACACAAAACATGATATTTATGTTGTCAAAACAAAAGTGAAAGTGTGATAAATCTATTTCGTACTTTTAATTAAAAGACTGTAGGATCAACGGATTCAAAACTGAGATTTGAAAACTAAAACCATATTTAGTTTAGGGACAATGATTTGTTTTAGGAACAGTTAAAAAAATTCTAAGTGGAGCAGATTTATGAAATGGATGCTCCTCTCAAACCAGATAACCTCACTGAGGTTTGTCCTGTAAACAGCTAATGATGTGCATAATTTAACATAAAAGGTACTGATTATGCCTTATTTCCTAGAACACAATTGACTTTAGTATCAGCTTAGATATCTCAACATACATTTTCTATTCTGTAGAGTTTGGATTATCTGGCCACACACTTCGTAGCGCTGACTGTGCAAGCCAAGTTCTGGGAGTAAGGTGATGGTTCTGCATTAAAAGTGAGCCTCTGCTAATTTTAAAGTCATGATTTCCTCTAGAAAAGTCTTTGGTATGTGCAACTTTGGTAAGTCTTTAGTTTGACAGCGACTTTCCTTTACTTAGCTTCTCAACATTCAGACTAATGTTTGTGTTTTTACATTAAAGAATATTGTTAGAAAGTGAGTTGTCACATGCTGTATATATCCTGTAGAAGTGCTAAGCCTAGTATCAGATGAACACAGTTTGGGATGAAAACAGTTCCTCACTGTTCTTATTTTCTATGTAGAGTTTATGCTGAAATCATATAAACCATGGAAATTTGTGATGTTGATAGATTTTGCAATTATTTTATGCGGGACCAGAACCTAGAGAGAAAAGGTATTGTTTCAGAGAGTGAATTACGTATTTATTTTTTTCTCAGAAATTATTTATGCAATGTTTTTCCTTGTAGAGAATGAAAAGTAATACTGCTTTAAAAATATTAGTCTGTTATTTTTAATTTTAAATACATTGTTAATAAAGTAGAAACAATGATTAATTATAGGAAGACTCATTGATTTTCAGCTATATTATAAAGCTGATTTGCTGCAAAGCCAGTGAATTAGAACAGTCAGGGTGTTGACTCCAGTTTCTGTGATAGAGAGTGTCAAGGTCCTTAATTCTCAATCAATAACCCACATATCTCTAAAGAAGCTCTATCCTGGAGCTTCTTGCTCCAATGCATGACATTTCTCATGGAAAAAGTCTTCCTGGGCAGATGTGGAGCTCAGAACTTCCCCTGAGGAAGAAAAACTCAGCCAATTTCAGTTTCCCTCCTACTCCCAGTGACATTTCCCAATTCATATGTTCACAACCTGATAAAGCCACGAAAGAAAACAAGAAGTCTGTGAACTGCCAGTCAAGATTTCTTGATTGAAATCTGATTGCTTCAGATTTCTCTCACTGGAAAAAAAAGAAGTGTGGAATCCCCTTGCAAGTGCTGCCAAGCAACAGTTAAACTTTTTAACAATTTGATATTGTAGACCTATGCTTATTTTCATTTATAAGGCCACGTTCTTTAAGAAACAAAAACATTTTCCAATGAAGTCAGGGAAATCTGGGCTTGGACTGCACATAGCGTGCAGGTCTTTCAATACAGCTGTAAAGATTAACAGCTTTTTCAAGACAGCCAGTAGATAAAGTGTCCTATCACTACTATTATTTGATACCTCATATAGAAACCTAATACAAACAGTTGTCATACCTGTGACAACGTTTTCCAGACTTATCTTTGACTTTATGAATTTGGCACTTGGGGCTTAATTTTCAGAAATCAGCATGAACACTTGCAAGTGCTTCTTAAATAAGAAAAGAAGTTCAGTTCCTCTGCAAAGCTATTCCACAGTCTCACTGGCATCTAAAGTTACTGGAATGTTAATTTTAAAATGTTGACTGTGATAAGCCAGTGAAAGAGACTTACTCTACTTTATCTGAGACTTCATGCTGGATTCCAGGCAGTTCAGAAATATAGGGCCTGCTGCAGGTGAACCAGTAATATCTTTCTCCCAAATGTTTCACCTTAAAGATGTCCTCTTCAAAAAAAAACCCCAGTCGTCCCACACAATTCTCTTCTACCAAAAGTGCAAAAGTTTCCTGCTGCTAAGCTGCCATTCAGAATCTTGCAGTTTTCTGACTTACAATGTAATGATTGGTTCTTTGCATGTTATAAAAGCTCTTAAAAGAATACCAATAGACAGGGAGTCCTGAGGCACTTGCACTACTATATTTCCTCTCAACGCCCATCCTGTTTACAGTTGCTTCTCTACTGGTTTCTTACCACACGTTAAAAGTGGATTAGATGAGCAGTCTGCAGATATGCTTAGTCTTCTGTAATCTTACTCCTGAAACAGTCCTGTCTAACCACCTCTTTTGCAATTTATATTATCAGGAGAGGAACAAGAAATAGTAGTATTCTGCAAACAGCTGGAAAACCCAAAATGTGGGATGTTTCACAGAGGTAGACTGCTACGTTTCCCCCACCCCCACGTGGGTTCTTTTCAAACTGAGCATTTGGGTTTGTTTATTTATTTATTTGTTTTCACACACTCTCTCTTTTTTTTTTAAATTTCTAATAAAGGTGTACATTATTATAGCCTCACATTAGTACATATTACTTACAGCTATTAGTAGGGTTCTAGAACAAGACAGAAATTTAGAGAGTGACTTACTGGTCTAATAATCTGTGTCAGTGTTTGCTGAAAGCATTATTTATGACTCAAAGGACATGCTGTACATCGGAGATGCCATATCTAACTGGGGGTTTGAGAATGAGCATCTGCTGGAAATTTCAGTTTGTCTTTCACACCAAATCCATACACTTCCAGTCCTTTCCAAAGAAAAAAGCTTGATACCGTACACAGAGGAAATAAGTGAAAACAGAGTGACTTTATAGATTGTCCTTACATCAATGAAACATTACTGTACACAAGACATACATGGGACAGGCTCTTTCAGAGTAACAAATACTCCAAAGGGGCTTTGTAATGGGCAGAGAACTGCTGCGCACTCCTTTTACAGAAGCATTAAATAGTTTTTCTTCAGGACTATAAACTCTTCAGGCAAGAGTAAATTTCTTCATTGTAATTTTTGGAATAAAATAGCACAATGGTATGTAATTTAAGTGCTCCTGAACTATAAGTAGTAACAGGTCACTGAATTTACCTTCACTTGGCTGGAGACAGCTGCCTGTCAACAACTGAACAACTGTCATAATGGGTAGTTCACAGAAAAAAAATCAAGTTTATTTTTTTCAGGCAGGATTCATGATTTCTCCAAATCAGCTTTGAACATTCATTTGTCCCCCATTTTTATTTCCAACTTGTGTAGACAACGAATCACAGTGCATTCTCTACAATATACTCACTGACTTAACAATAGTCAGTGTGCCTACTTTATTTCTTTTTCTGGCAAAAATACAATTCTGCTATTATTCAGTGAAAGATAAATTTACAGGCAGCACAAACAGCCTGCTGGTATCCACAAAGTCCCAAAGATTTTGCATGAGGTTCAACTTTTTATTACAAAGAACATAACTTCATCCAGTGGGGCCCTAGGTCCAGAAAACATATTATGCATGTGTTCTGCAAATGTGGTTGAGAAAGTCAGCATTGTGAAATACGGAAGGAATAAACATGTATTTTTTTAGCCATATGACATCAACTTATAATTAGCTTGTTTCACTCAAATTAGTACAGTATATGGGCGCACAGAACAACTTTTCTATAGTAAACAGGCTCAAAAGTCTTAAATTAACATAGAACACATTTATATGTAGCTTGAGTTTGGATTGAACATACTGTGCAGCTGTAACCTGAAATTTGAATAAACTGAAACTCCCCTTGATAGGCAAGTAAAGGAAGTCCCCCTTTAAAATAACTCATAGTTTAAAATAAAGCCAGTATAGGCTGCAGAACTTGCAACAAACACAGCTGATGTTACTCAGTTACACAAAACAGTACAACTGCTCCTGTTTCAGTCTTAGAGTCATCAAAGGACAATTCTGCACAAAGTATTCTCCAGTTATATACAAAGGGGTGGACATTTCTCTTCTGTTCCCAGAATTGTGGGAACAGTTTTTACACTGAACGTTGGAGAGTTGTAATGTCAAGCTGCAGTGTTTCACGGACAAGGCTCATGATGCCTTGTTGTCTTTTCATTGGATTAGGAATATGATGCTTTTCTCTATGTTTTGATGCCAAAATGAATTTTTTTCTCACTAGAGTAAAATAAACATACTGTGCCTGAAGCCCAAAGGAAAGGAAGTAATAATTCTTCTGTCTCCGTTAACCATTCCTGACACTGTATCATGAACTAGCTATTTCTTTCAATCCTAAAAGCTCTCACTGCTCTTTTATAAGGACAAGTTATTATTCTGAAAAGAGGATAATAAAACTAATCACTAAAACCTGAGTAGAGGTAAAACTCATCAGCACAAGCCCTGCTAATTCTGAAGTAAAAGTATAAGGAACAC